AAAAGTCGAACTGAAATCTTATTTTGCCCAAACACCTGTTAACTTGTTAACTGTTTGGAACATTTGGTGTTGTAATGAATATTACTGGAGTTTTATCCCAACACCAAACCGTTATTTTTAACACCTCCACACGTGTTTCAATCACCAAGTGATGATCTTCAAGAGGAAGAATAAACAGTTTAATCTCCCTCTGGAAAATGATCACTTGATGATCGAAACACGTGTCGAGGTGTTGAAAATAACTATTTGGTGTTCATTTCAAGAGAAAAAATAAACAGTTTAGTCTTCCTCCTGCAGATGATCACTTGGTGATCGAAACACGGGTCGAGGAGTTAAAAATAACGATTTTGTGTAATATTCACCTATAAACTGACTAACTATTCAATTTGACCCACTCACTTACTAAGTCACAAGTAATTGAGGGAACACTCACGATGAACTGAAAATGTTTGTTATAGAAGGATGATTTGATATAGATATTAGTGAGCTAAAATTTTTTAAATCTTTTCCACTGCTTCATACACTTCAGTGTCATATGAAAAATGAAGGAATGTTCGTCTCTCCATTCCAAAATTTCTGTTTTAACCTCTCCTCTGTAGCTAGGTGAACACAAAATGTTGAGGACGTGAACTCAAAGGGCGTCTGTGATGTGGTTCTCATTGATCCTGCTACTCTCAAACGGGCCAGGACTTGAACCTTTCCTAATTAATTAGAAATCGCTTACTTCAATTTCAGTCATCAAACTAAAAATGCATTTGTTACCATAAGTTAAGTCGAGTACAGATTCAACTTTCATATGTTTTCGTGCGCCTTTTTTATGATTTGTAAATGTTAGTCCTTGATAAGACTGGGATCTCATATCAATCTACATTATTTAACCTACTCGACAATGGAATTTCTTCACCAGTTTTGGTGAAACTAGTTCCTTTTGTTTGGTATACTTGGAGAATGGTATTATATTCAATTCAAATGGACTTGCATGGGTTCCTCCCCCTAGGCTGGGATAACAATCATAGAGTGCATTTCTTTAATATCCCCCCTTTTATTTTTTGAACGGGTCAACTCAAAAAAATTTAGGATAATGAAATTAATGCATGAATACTTTATTTTTTTTTCCAGATGGCGCCGAGTCGCCATCTTGAAAGTTTCATCTGTCAATTTCACTTCAAAATAAAGTATTCATGCATTAATTTCATTACCTCAAATTTCAATTTTTTGAGTTGACTCGTTAAAAAAATAAAAGGGGGGACATTAAAGGAATCCACTGTATGTATTGCCGTAGTAGTAGTACTTCATGTCAATAAAGGCCCAGAAAATGTAGTTCCTTGTTCCTGACGCCTGGATGTTGGTTAGATTATATAAATTTCTTGAAGGAGTTTCTTCAGTCAGTATTGAATACAGAAAAGAAACAACTGTAAAAAAATGTTCCAATTCCAGTTCGGGTGGCTTTTCTGAATTTCAATGAGAATTTAGCAAAAGTTAAACCAAATGAAGGTGAATACTCCCTCAGTAAAGCATGATTTCCCTAAAGCAAACTTAATAAAAATGGAGACATATTATGCCTGATAGTAAATCCCAGTTTTGGTGAATTATTGTTTGCGAAATTTCAACTCGAAGCTATATTGAATAGACAATATTATTTAAAGAGGTTATGAATATCTTACAGTGAATATATGTTGTGTTATGAAGAAATGACTCAGCAGTGGTGCAGTTATCTGAAATGAAAGATGTGGTGCGTGATTCCCAATAAAAAAATAATTGAGTTTCTGAAGTTTCAGTCAACAGGTCAGCGATATTCGAAAATCAGAGCCCAAACAAATTGCATTTATGGGTCAACACCAGTCAGTGCTGTTTCAACCCGTCACTATTGTCATCAGTGGTGCAAGGCTGAACTACAAATGTATTGCTGGACTTGACTACGAAGATAAAGGACTCAATCTTCGAAAATCAAAGGTAAACAAGGCTCCTCAAGGGGGTCAGTGGCAGAGCCAGGCTTTGACATCGATCGCCAACGAGGTTCGTTCTCTGTCTTTTACTGCAGCTTCCACTGCAAGACAATCAGCCGTAAATCAGAGCTAAAACACGACGCATTTATGATTCAATAGAAGAATGAAACTTTTGTTCTTGAACCTATGTTGGAGAAAAGAGAGTTGAATTCACTTAGTCGGGTCGGATTTTTTGTTACTTCGTGCTCCATAAAGGATCATGAATAACTAGATAAAAAAGACAATGAAAGGACGTTCGATATCTCAAAAATTTCATTAGTCTCACATCCTAATTGCACAGATACATAATATGTCTCAGGACGTGGCGTCATTCATTCACGGGTGACTCCCTAGCCGTCAGGAATATTCTGATATACCTTGCTGCAGAGCCAGTGGAATTAGGCACTCATGATGCTAGGTTCTCCAGTTGACCAAAAAGCCAACCAGTATTAAAAGTACCAAAATTATTCAACTATGAGTTTATTAACAAAACTTTCCTTAAACAACTAACAAAAATAAATCAAGTTATATCCGTGTTGGCACCAGATCATAACGAGAAGTAACGGAAATGGGGAACCTGATGTTTTCACGAAGTTGGGACCCTTCACTTCCTTTGGACCCAAACCTTTCTGTTCACTCTCGACATACCACAAAATAAAGAAATCAAATAATGAGAACTTGATCATGTGAGACATCACAGAAATAAAACGTTCAGAAAAAGGCAAGCGGCAGTTGATTATACTATTACCAGAGAAAGCTGAAATACAGTGAACGAAAAACACACGAGATTCGTAACGGGACTTGTCATTGAACACTGCTCACATAAGTTTTAATCTTCTAAAATGAGCAGATATGCGAATCTGCCACAGAAACTGCAGAATACTCGCTTTGCAAATGGCAAGCTCTGATCTGCTAAAGTTTCAAGTTTCTTGAAGGGATAATTCTATCACTATGACTATGATATTAAGGAACTGATTTTACAATCTACAGTTATCTGCACCTCATGATCAACCTTCACTCTAAACTAGTGTAATTTGAGAGTAGTCCCGAATTCAAGTTCAAAATACTATCCCTTTCCTTTCGCGGCGAAACGCCAATGCTTCCTTGGATAGGAACAGAAAAAATCTCTATCTCATATAGAGATGTAGATTTCTCAACCTCTCTTCATCACAGCACGCTTGTGTGTTCTGCATGTATGTTTAATACATCTAAATATAGGACGCAGCCTCGCAATGGTTCAGCGGCAGGTGAGAGAGAGCATGGATCAATATTACCTGGCGATCTTCTCCCGATCCAGCGTGGCCTACTATAACCCTGTTGCGCTTTCGCAGCGTGTTACTGATACGGTTGCGTTTTTGTTCTGGACATTGATTAAACTCTTCTGATCGTTAACGCAGCCGAAGATTGGCTCTTTTCCTTGCGGTTGAGAACAAATCACCTGTTGAAGAAAATTCGGATGCTACAGGGAAAGTTTAATGCTTTTGCGTGCTGAAAGTTGAACATTGATTGCTTTGTTTCCGCAAAACCTTCGTTTATCAATTTAACAAAGTCCAGTTATGTGGAGGATCAATTATGAGGATGGTTGTTTACACTGTAATTTTGTAGACAAAGGGCCTTTAATAATATATATTATCCAATGGAAGGTCGAAAACGACGAGAGACAGGTAATTATGAAACAAGTTGTCTATTTATTACAAGTTGGATTACACCAAAATACACGTTTATAAAACAGTACACTAGGTAAAGTGAGGAAATCGCAAGAAAAAAGCTTACAATACATGTGTTCATAGTTGATATTCTCTTCTATCGAGGCTTCAAACTACGGAGCCAAAACATTCAACATTTTAATAAAAAATGCAGTAAAGTCAGTTTGAAATTCGATAACAATAACTATATGAGGTCATTGAGCGATTTTTGTCTACGGATTCAAATTGAACCAAAGCGCTGCCGAAACAGCCCGAAAAATCAACCAAGCATTTGGCAATGACAGGGTTAATGAACGCAGTACTTCGACGTTGCCGTTAGTCTGCAAAATTTTGTTCTCGAGATTTTAGCATCGAAGATAGGCCCGAAGTGGTCAACCTACAGTAATCCAGGTCGAGAATTTGAGGACCCTGTGGATACTAACCCATCACAAACGGTGCGTGGGATGACGGAATAACTGGACGACGTCAGCTTCCATGCGGTTTTTGAGGGTTTAAATCGTATTGGAAAGGTCAAAGAGTTCGAAAAGTAGGTGCCAGAAATTGTCACGTTTCGGGATCTGATCTTCTTTACTATTGCCCAAAAAAAAGACCCCTTTTTTGGATCGATTCTTCACGTGTCATGCGAAATGAATCTTCTACAACAACAGGAGATGCTAAGCACACAAGCACTACAGGAAAATCCTTAAGGAGCTCCCAGAGCGGGGTCTGTGCGAAAGTAGCGATTCGCATTTGATATGAATTGCTGGAGATTATATCCATTTGGAAAAACGTTCTCTGGAAGTTTATTCCACGCAGTTCTCCAGATGAAAAAGTTCTTAAACAGTGAAGTTGGAAGTGTACTGAGAGAGAGATATCCATCGACGGCCACTCGCAGGAAACGTTCTTCCAGGAAGCTGATTATTCTATGGTGGTCAGCTGCTGATTGATTCAATATAACTTTCTGCAACCAGGACAAAGCAGAGTCCTATTGTGAGACAATCAACAAAATATACCGAAAATTGCATTAACAGCAGCACTAGTCAGCAGAAGTGCGCACAATTTTATGCTGACAAAATATATTACAGTTTGATGTAGAATAAAAATTCATAAAATCGGACAAAACTTTTGAAATGACCTGATATTCCCTCGAATAGAGTAATTGAGAAAAATGAATGAATTTTCCACACGAATAATCTCCTAGGATATCTGAGATTCAGGATTCAGGATTTTGTGACACAAGGATCCATGAAAACAATTTTTTAAGGGTTTTCATAACATTGCATTCAAAAAGAATCTAACCACAAATAATTTTCATAAAAATAAATAAATGTCATTCTGACACAATAAAATATACACCAAAGTTATAAGTTTTACTGACTTCTATTAATATAATCAGCTGATGGAGCATACAGTTTCCAATGAGAGTTCTGTTTCTCTAATAGGCAAGTTTGAGTTATGAATTATCATTCTTCCAGCGATATGAATTTTATTTATTATATTTTTGAAATGTTTCCATTATTTTGTTTTCAGAAAGTGAACCAGGTATCATCGAGAGGAACATAAATTCGGAGAACACTGGTGAATATGGACAACTTTAGTCTGAGCAACAAGTTCGTTTTCAAGGATTGGCTCTCCATCTTTACCGAAAATTATGAATGAAGTGTTATTATCCGGTTAGGAATGGAGTCTGGAAACATTTTGAAAAAAATGCAGAAGTTACAAACAAATAAGTGGGAAAATGGATTTTCTTTTTTGTGAATATCTCAGAAAGTATGGAAATACGAAAAAATATTCTCAAAAGGAAAGAAATGTCGAAAAAATCGCTATTTCCGGAACTCTGCCACTAGTATTTGGTAATTCAATTTAGGGTAGAAAATAGAGCTCAATACGAGTAGAAACGTACCTGAGCGTTGGTTATAACCATTTTTCAAACAAGTGGCGTCAAATAATTGCAGAAACTATCGTCATACAGGTTTCCATTATTTGAAAATGGAATAATTGGAATATTTGCAAACACATTTTTGACAGCCTTAATTGTCTATGACAAAGGCAAAAGTCAAAATATTCTCATTTTTCGAAGAGGATTTGTAGTGAAGCATTTCAAAAATAGTCTCGAGCAATGAAAGTTTTAAAAATATCGCGATTCTTATGTGTACTTTTGAATTGTGAGAATCGTTTATACGACAAAAGCATAACAAATTGGGCTAAATTTCACTTTATGGAATGAATACTCTGAGGTGATAACCATGATGGTAGGAATGAAGACCTTTTTTTATTTTTGTCGGACTCAATTAGTTTTCGAGATATAGCCTGTCAAAGTTTGTACCTTTTTTTAGGCAATAAACGATTGCAATTTACATATTTTTTATTTAACATAACTTTTTCCATATCATCACACTTTTTTCTATCCCTTTTCAATCACTTATTGCCAAGTTTCCTGAAATTAAAATGAAATTCGATAATTTGTTAGGTGCACACAAATCACTTTTTATAAATTGCATTAAGTTTCACTATTCGAAAATTTCCTTTTAGAATTCGGAGGTCACGATAGATGTTGAGGGAAGATAGTTTTTACAAAAGTGAATATTCGAAAATACGTTCCTCTTAGAGTTTGGAGGTCAGGTTAGATGTTGAGGATACATAGTTTTTTGAAATGTTAAAGTAAGGTTAGACTGAGTGAAGTTAGGTCGAGTTAGGTTAGGTTGAGTTAGCATGTGATAAATTATGAAATTTCAATCTAATTTCAAGAAACTTGACAATAAATGAATGAAAAGTGATACAAAAAAGTGCGATGATATGGAAAAAGATGTGTTGAATAAAAAATATGTGAATTGCTTGAAAAAGGAGGTAAAAATATGACATCATGAAAACTTTAACTTTGAGTCCGACAAAAAATAAAAAGTGTTCTGAATTCCTACCATCACGTAGTATCATCATAGAAAAAAATCGCGAAAATCCGTGGGAATCACATAAAGTGAAATTTTTCCACAAATTGTGGTGAATTTCATCTGCAACATATGCATTATAGTCGGTCGGTAGCCGGGAGGTTCAACGTGGGTGCTTTGTTCACTCAGTCAATTGGCCGATGTGTGAATCGATGGCTTACGCCCCAGGCTTAGCGCTCGATTTTCACCGGCTATCGTCCAACCCGTGTTAGGAATCATACGTTGGAAGGTAAGACCACGATAGTCCTTAGCTCCCACAAGTTTCGACTTCTGAGGATTGTCGTTCGTAGGGGTGCGATAGCTGGTCAACGGAAAAAACATATCTATTTACCTATACATGGCTTCAATAGTCCCAAGAAACATACATATTTATAGGGGAAATGAAAGAGGATAACAAAAGATATCTAACCATGAAAACTTGAAAAATTAATACGCTGTAAAATCAGATGAAACCCAGAAATGTTTCACTGACCGGCGAACTTCGTTATGCCATAGAATTAATGAATGTTGATGAGTTTACATGAGTTATGTTTAGTTTTTACATTGTGTTTGGGAAGCTCGAAGCCGTAGTCGTAAGTATATAACTGATACGATCAATGTTGCCAAGTCATTTTCATGCGTGTCAGTGGATGTTGTGTCAGAAAAGTAGAGATTGATACAAAGAAGAGTTTGAAATATGTTTCATAGATACACACCACGTACATGGTAATTTTCACTCATTGCAGCTGCAGCTTATTTTAGCAGCTGCAGCGAAACGCTTTTGTGTAAAATATGATGAGGTCCTGTTTTCCTAACAAATAATTATATTTTGATATTAAGTTGTATAGTTTCGTGATTTTTGTTTAACCTCGACTCAGCTTTGTTTGTGTGTTGTTGAATTTATGAACCTAGCAAGGACTTTCAATTTCAAAGGCAATGGAACACATACAATATTAGAAATATTGCATTATGCCTTTGTACACAAATACTTTTGAGGCACTCCTCAAACTTGAGTTTGAGGAGTGCCTAGAAGATGACAGTACGAAAAGAGAAGAATGGTTCAGATACGTTGTCGATGGACTGTACATATCACAAAACAATGAAATAAGAATAGATCACATAACAAAAGGAATTAACTAAATAAATCAAAAACTATTTTTCAGAATTGAGGAAGAAAACAGGTCGAAACTTAACTACCTCGACATAACCATTATAACCACAACAAAACACAATTTCAAATGGCAATATATAGGAAACCTACACATACAAGCCAAACACGAAAATAACGCGAAAAATAAACAGCTATTAAAAAGAAGAAGACAAAAACCAAAACGGAATATACAGTATACAATGCTCGGGCAGCAACAAATTCAATATCGGCCAAACTAAGAAAAAACTGATTCAAAAGTACGATGAACACAAAAAGGCATACATAAACCCAATAGTATATAAATCAAACCTTGCAGCACACGCCATACAAAGCAAACATAACTTTTCCCCACCAAAGAACATAAAACTCATAAAACAAGTCAATAAGGGAAACCGCATGGACATTTGGGAAAACTTAAACATCCATAAATTCAACAGTCAAAAATCACTTATCGAGGAACAAGTACAAATCAAAACAAAACAGGACCTAACATTCAGTATATTAAACAAATCAATATACACTCCTAGAAGCAATGAACCTGAAGAAGATTTAACACCAAGGTACCTGGTGTAATCCAAATACCGGCAAATTCACCTGAAGCAACAAAAGTACCTATATTGAGGCGTTCAGACCGTATGAAAAGACACTCAACAGGATAACACGTTCAGATAGAAGAGTGCCTAGAAGATGACAGCACGACCAGCTGTCGAAAGCGCTCGCAGATAATCAAATAGAAATCATAGAGCTTCATCTTGTCTATTTTAACTCCGCGTACTTCACCAAGGAAAAAATGTTCAGCTTCTTTAATGACTTTCGCTATCATAAACATATTAACTTGCAAATTATCGGATTGACCTTTTGTAAATCCGTCGTCGGTCATGTTTGTTAGAATTTACACACCTTATAGTAAATAATACTGTGTAAAATAAACTAAAACAGTAAAAACTACAGATTTGGACAAAAATATTACAATAAACGACGGAAAATTCGAACCAGGAAACGCGAAATACAGTATGACATCACATCTAATGGCTGGGCGTTTCTGGTTACGTGACGAAATTTAAATTTTAAGTAAACTTCAATTGTTTCTATATAACGATTAACATTTTGAAAATAGTTTTTTTTGGTAGGTAATAAAGGCTTTATTACAATGATATCTTTTGATTCTCAATGTAATTTTTCCTATTATTCAACGCCAGCCAACTTGCAAATGCCATAATATAAGTTGTCTCTGCATGCACCTGACAACTGTCATAACCTAACCTAACAAAATTAACGTTATCGATTCGTTCAATCACTAGTTTTTTTCTTAATTTGGCAAATGTTTTATTGATCAGACTGCTATATCAGGCAGAGACAAATCCAACAAATCAAAAATTATGACAATCGGTGACAATTTTTGTGAATGTAAACGAATGGTTACGAATACGATTTTGCAAATTTGTTCTTTATATTAGATTGGTTTTTTGATAGATATAAAATACTTCACAGCTGCCTTGAATTTTTACATTTTCATATTTCACGGATTGAACATATACTTTCAGGAACGTTGCAACTCGAACAGGATACTCAGGTGCATCTTTATCCGGTTTCAGTCCTATTTTCACCTTTTATTTAGTGGAAGCGTCCCGAGGGTTACCATTTTGAAAAAAAAATTTTGGCGCAGAACTTGGAATTCTTCAAAACGTTTTTAGATGGCACTCTAAATCGAATGACACCTCAATCATAATTTTCGGTAAAGGGGTCAGAAAATCGTTGAACTGGAACTTGTTGCTCAGACTACCTGCATTCAACAGTTTGACACTCTCAACCGTTTAATTGAGTATGACTTGTCTTTAAACGTCATCCTTTGTATTTTCAGGATCAAATTTCCACACCCACAACTACAACACTCGTCTCTCATGTAAGTACTCAGTTATTAGATATTTGTTAAATCAGTTCTGATAATGGTTTTCTCCTGAATCCTAGCAAAATTTAAAAAATTATATGTAAACTTAAGTAATAGCCGATTAAAAATATCAAACATACAAGAAAATAGAAACGAAAGGAAACGAACAGAATATAACGGTAGCATACAAATAGTCAAGCATCAGTCCAACAGAAGGAGTAGTACTGCTAGCCACGATAGTCAGGATAGCAGAGAATTTGATTTCGAAGATTACAAAACGCCAAAATTGGAATATTCAGAAACCCTGTTGATGGATGATAGGGGAAGATATTGTAGTACCCCTAGACCACAAAATGTTTGGTTGAAATACTTTTATGGGCTCTGTAAGTAATTTTTTGGGGATTGTCTAGTTGAGGTCCCAGCGCATATAAATAGGTATGTTCAATAGCACAATCAAAACATAATCCAACCTAACCTAACCTTCAATTACTAGTACCGATATCAAATTATTATTATATTGAGAATATGCAAACGTTTAATTGAAACCGTTACTAAATCTAACCAAACCTTACCTATATAAGTGCCTTGTGACCTAAACTAGACAATGTTCCATTTTTTCCATTTTCATTGAAATATGAATAAATGAAAATAAAAATGTGAGAATGAAAATTGTCAGAATAATTGAGACGGATTCCATTTCATTAATCGTTTTAGAAGATTCTACATGAGAAAGGCTGTATTGAGTTGCAAATTGCCAGTGTTGAAGCTGATCCTGATTTGCTCATTCATTACCAAATTTCAATATTTTGCCATTTTTCAGCTTATCACTACCTATATGATGTCGTTAAGCAATTTTCAGCCAATTTGTCTCTACGAATTCAAATTAAATCAAAGCGCTGCCGAAATAGCATGGAAAATTGAGCAGGCATTCATCACTGAAAGTGTTAATGAACGCAATGTTCGATTTTGGTTTGGATAATTTCGTTCCGAAGATTTCAGCGTCGAAGATGAGCTCCGAAAGTAATCCAGGACTAAGACTTGAGGACCCTGGTGGAAACTGACCAATCACAAACAGTGCTTGGAATGGCAGGAGAACTGAGCGTCAGCTTCCATGCTGTTTTTGATGATTTCAGATGCATTGGAAAGGTTGAAAAGCTCGAAAAATGGGTGTCGCATGATCTGAACGATCGACAGAAATTGTCACGTTTTGAGGTCTGCTCTTTTTTGCTCTTGCGCAACCAAAACGAAACTCTTTTGGATCGGATCGTCATATGTGACGAAAAGTAGATAATCTACGACAACAGGAAACGTTCAGGACAGTGGTTGGGTACCGATGAGCCACCCAACCATTTCCCAAAGGCAAAAACCCACCAAAAAGTGCCATGGTTAATGGTTGGTGATCAGCTGCTGGTGTGATTTACTATAACTTTTTACAACCGGGCAAAACCATCACAGCAAAGTCTTATTATGAGGAAATCGGCGGAATCTACAGAAATTCGTGTCTCTCCGCACGTTTTATAAATCACCGTCCGAAAATTAAACGAATTGAGCGTTGAAGTTGTGCGTCACCCACCATACTCTCCAGACCTCTCGCCAATCGACTACCATCTTTACAACCAGTTGAATAATTTTCTCACCGATAGAACCTTCGCCAATCAGGATAAGGAAAAAAACATCCTTCGTCGACTTCATCGAATCCCGAGTACAAATTTTCATGCTGACGAAATTAATCGACTTTTGTCACAAAAACGGACAAAACTTTTGGAACAACCCAATATCAGCTATTAATTTGTAGTTCAAGGGTTTGCAGAATTTGTAATTTTTTTCGCATTCCAGGTTTTGTTGGAATTCTCTACATTTATATCCAAGTCATCCACAATGGAGAATTAATAAGAAAAATCCAAAGTGAAGTGAATGACTTGAAGGTAATTCTCCAAGGAAATAGTTCAGGAGCCTCTAAGCGAACCATTAATTATTAATCTGAAAAGTAAGATTTTTCATGAAGACTAAATACATAAACTTCAAATGTATTAATCCCGAAACAAATACTCACGAATATACGAGGAGAGTATTTGATGACACAATTAAATTTTTTTGATCATTCACTATAGCTATCATGAGGGTTAAGGTAATATTTTGCAAGATAATCATTAGAGTTACCTACCAAAGAAATCATTTTTTTGTAGTTGGTACTTTTCGATACTCATCTGTTTTCATTAAGTAATCTTTTGTATCTTGTTTTTGTTCAAACTTATTTTGGGAAGTTGATTCATCCACTCTCTGAAGAAGCCAAAAATTGATTCCTAGAGGGCAATACCTCTCAAGGAAACTTCTGTAGGACATTCCTAAAAAAAAATTTATAAACGAAAATCTGAAAATGTAGAAGGAATATTATTTTTCTGACATTTCAACAAAAAAATTTTGTCTTAAAAAAACCATTACTATACGGAAATTTCAGGGATTTTCATGGATAATCACTTGCGAAAATATTGGATTTGAATCTCCGTTTTATATTGGTTGGGAAAAACGCTACCGTGGGTTTACAGCTGTGAAGACAATTTCACAAACTTGAACTGCTCAAAATTTTCAATACTCAATTTTATTTCATCTAAATTCAAACCGATTTTATTTCACCTCGGAAGAATTTCTAAGTTTTGATACAAAACCCAAGCAAACGTTTATTGGCTCCTAGACTATAATCTGGAGTTATTGAATAAGACTACTGAGTAAAATTATTATTTTCAGCATGACATACATTATGAAGCAGACTCGGATGGCAAATTTTACAGAATGGAGAATATTTTGAAGAACATGAAACGTGAGCAAGGTATTGTAAATATTTCTATTCAAAAGTATAAATGTGATTCACCAAAACGGAGAACAAAGAGATTTTACTTTGAATTCCATTTATAATTTCATAGGAAGAAACTCCAATGGGCAAATATTTGCAGTTTATCTCGGAACATTCATTCTCATTCAGAAGGATGTTTTTATAAGAAAGGATGTTTCTTTTCTTATCGTACACCTTCTAGCGATGAATGAAATGTTTTAGCTGAGACTCTACTATTTCTGAAAAGTTGTTCGTTTAATATCAAATATTTTCATCAACAATTGGGTCCCCAGCCTTTCACTATGAATTACAAAGATATCCGAGCAGTTATAAAATGATAATGCTTGTTACTGTTACGACAAAAATTATGTATTTGCATGTTACTACAGGGTGTACACCAAATCGATCTCTATATGGAAAATTAGATATAGAATTAGAAAATTTGACAGTATAGTAATCACTTGCATATTTAACATAATTTTTATTTTGTGCGATATAATCTAGTTTAAGGACGTCGATGAGAACAATGATCAGAAGAAAGCCTGATCACTGATTTTATGTGCCATCTAGCTTCTGCAATATCTTGAACAAAATTTTACATAAAAATTCATTACCGTTATTGAATCTGTTTTTCCGTTTACCATATTTCGCCCTCCTACGTACGAGGACGACCTTCAATAATCGAAACCTGTGCGAAACCTTTTAAACTACGATTCTTAGCATATGCATTTCTAGAAACAACGTCATCTGAGAGTTCAAATCAAACGGTAGCAAATTTCCGAAATTTTTCAAAATGTACCTCCATCGAAACCTCATCTATTGGTGAATATTGGAGAATTATTGCTTGAAATAATTGAGTTGGTTCAGATTAAGTGGTTGTATTAGCCAATAAACATGTTACAATTGTTGTAACTATTTTATTTACTTGTTGTTTTCTAATTTACCCGGCACCTTTTTTCGATAAGGTCTAACATAAAATTCGACAGTTTCTTTGATATTCATTCCCATCAAAAAATGATCATCGATGCTCTCATCACTAGTCGTAGACCATTAGGGTGTGTTTATATTGTGTGTTGGCCGTGATAGTTGATAAGAGCAGCTGAAGAAACGCTTTCTCCACACCAGAACAAAATAACTGTTTCTCAACGCGCGTTTCGCGTTTAGCATAAGCAGATGATAAAGACTAGATAAGAGCAGATCAACTAAAGGAGCTGGGAAAAAAATAATATGATAATAAACTGATACAAATAAGAATATAGATATGTAATGTAAAAATAATTCGATGACAATTGAAAACGTGGAACACCACAAGGAAATGAACTTATTCGTGGTGAAAATTACGTGTTTCTGTAGTAAGAATTTATTTGAAACGTTCTTTCTGTTCATATGAAATTTTGCAATATATTTATAAACAGTAGATCTGGTAAAACAGAACACGGTACTTCTCTCATACCATTTCTTCTCCCTTTATAGTGAATTGATTCGCAATATTCCGCAGTCTAAATGAATTACGGTTTCGTTGTGAAAGATTCGATCTTCTCGCTGGCTGTATTGTAAATAACACTGTGATGTCTATTGATGATTTTACTTATATTATAACAGAGCAATTCGTGCAGTCACAAATGTCATTGTCTTTGCGCTCCATCCCTTCTTGAGTACGGTGTTACTAACATGATTTTGCTACTTTGTTTTGTATATTGAATGACATGAGTATTTGTATTCACTCATATTTTTTCCAGAATCGACCCGAGCGAGCATTAAAAACATTATAAATCAAGAACTAACAAAATTCAGCTCCGACAAAACTGGAAGAACTGACTTTGCACTGGAAGCCTCTGGTGAGTAATTCATTCTGATAGTAATAAAACCGAATGAATGATCATTGCTTTCAGGGGGTAAGATTATCAATTTATCATCCGATACGGAAAACTTTGATTACGCCAAAACTCTTTTTGGAATAACTTTGTGTGAGGGGATGCATGGCCCAAGAGCTATGTTACAGGTGAGTACAGTGTAATGATGGTTTGATTCATATGCATTTTTTAAAAGTCATGTGCATTATTTTATTACTAAAAAACGTTTTATGAACAGAAATAACTAAGGATCGAAGGTTAAAAACCTTTGGAATTAAATGTCTCAATGGATTTTTCTTCACGTGTATTTCTATAACTTTATCATCTTCGAGTGAATAGGTAGGTAGGTCTAAAGTGAATAGTGAATAGGTCTATTCGACCCTCCACCGCAACCCACAAGGATTTATTGTGGCTCACACCTATTCACACTCGGCCAAATGAACCCAGCTTCTTAATGAAGCCGAATAGTTTGTATGGTGAGTGGTCCTTCAGGTCAGATGGTCAGAGTACGGATCTCAAAGAACCTGGTTCGGTCCCCAGCGGGGCAGGCACAAAGTATATGCTCTGATTTTCATCATTTTCCAGACAAAGGCGACACACACTGTCTTCCGACAGTCCAAGTCTCTGCATGTGATGATTCAAATGACAGTGACCTGTAAGAAGGCTTGTTAGACATCGTAGTTCATCCCTACTGTAGTCCAACAAGTGTTTGGAATCAAGCTTCAAAGAGTGAATAAACGCCTTGGAGTGAGCCAATCCTGGAAGACTCTGCCAGAAGTCCATAACTCTTCTTGCCATCCAGGTGTTAAGTGTTTGTTTGGCAAAACCCAAAGCGATGCCAATGACAGGTTCTGGTCCAATGAAGCCCTCCTTTGCAAGTGAGTCAGCAGCTTCATTGCTGCTGTGAATAGGACTAAGTACTAGAAAGTTCTATAGTTGAGATGGTTTTTTCCAAGGAAAATATTTCTGTTAATCTTTGGTAATTCAATAATATTGGCCGGATGATTTACCTGGAGCAGAGGTTTCTAATTTCATGGGTCACGGAACCCTAATTGAACATATATTTTTCGAGGGAACTCTAGCTGATTATTTTCATCATGAAGGAAAAATAACCATTGTAATGAAACAAATATTCAATAAGAAGAATGGAATTTTTCAACATATTTTCTTATACTAGTACTGAAATTAGGCTTTATGTCAGACAGTTAGATGCGAAGATCCGAAGCTGCCTCCAGTCTATTTCTGGTTTTTTTTTGTGTAAGCTCAAGCTGAGAATTGGATCTCGCAGTCGTGACCAATGGGGTAAGCAGAACCTCTGTGACCTGTCTGCGGTTACAGGGGCTGAACCTCAGGGTCCAGCGATCCACCATTTAAGAATCTAGGCTCTAGATAATGTGTTCTGAAATGTATCACAAAATTGATAAGCTCTAAATATCATATTCTTTTGAATTGTAGACTAACTACTATAGTGAATTGAAAGGGATATAATTTAAAGGGAGATTGATTTTTTGAAGAAGAAAGCTTTTGGCTTTCTACTTCTTCATTCCTATAAAAAATGTGTACAGAAAAATGTATTGCTTTCTTTCTTTTTGGAAGATTCCCACATATTAGTGTTGCTATTAAGTCGCAGCCATAACTATTTCTTGACTCTTTTCACGTTCTTGTGATGCACTGTTTGGAGCCTTTGGTGTAGTAATGAATATTAATGAAGTTCAATCTCAACACCAAACCGTTTTTTTTAACACCTCGACACGTGTTTCCATAAAAAAGTGATCATCTTCAAGAGGAAGCTTCAACAGTTTGATCTTCCTCTCGAAGATGATCACAGGAACACTACAATCCTTAAGGCGCTCTTAGAGCGCCTGTGCGAAAGTAGTGATTCACATTGTCAGGAAGTTTATTCCACATAAACGCCGTTCTCCTTATGAAATAGTTCTTAAACAGTGAAGTTCAAAATGTAGTGAGTTGAACCTCAAAACGATGAGCAGCCACAGTCCGTCGCGTATTTCTGGTGGAATCAAATACGCTCAGTCACACTTGGCATACTTCGATGTTTCAGACAATCAAGGTTGCAAGTGATGTTCGCATATCCAATCAGGCGGATGATTTTTTTCTGGATGGAATCCAGCAGCTTCAGGGTATGTTTGGGGGCGGAGCTCCGTACATGAGAACAATAATTCTCCAAAGAAGGTATGATCTGAGCTTTATGAAGCATCAAAAATTGCTGAGGTGTGTGCAGTTTCCTGATTCGGAATAGTGTTCCAAGCATTTAAGAAGCAGCCTTTGCAATTCCAACAACATGATTGTGCCAAGACATATTGGTGTCCATTTTAACTCCCAACAAGCTTATCGAAGCAGAAAGTGGATTTGTCCGACCTGACCATATTACATTCGATTCGGAGATATTTGTCTTTTTGAAGAAATCCGATGCCTGGGTTTCTGTGGCATTGAATTGAATCTGGTTACTTCCACCCCCATTCGAAATACCTTTTAAATTAAGATATTCAACCTCCTGCTGCCGGTGAAGATGTGCATCCGCAGCCGATTTCCTGGAATTCAAATGACGAGACAAGTGTGCTGTCATCAGCAAAGCATTATATTGAATTCTTGTTTTTTTTCAATAAGTCGTTGATATACAATAAAAAGAGAGTTGGAAAAAATATGGATCCCTGGGGAATACCAGCGTTGATGGTATTCGAGATATTCTGGATTGCATTATTACAAATATGGGTGGCATACGATAGACGGTCTCCTGTTGATCTTTGTTTGCTAAAGCCATATTGATGATCGCTCAAGACATTAAAGCCTTCCAAATGTTTGAGAATATGGTGGTTTACGGCTTTCTTCATGACTTTTGATATCACTGATAGCAAAGCGACTGGTTTATAGTTATTTGGAAGAGTTTTATTGCCTTTTTTGGGAATAGACTGAATGCCAGCAAACTTCCAACAAGAAGGAAAATCCCCTTTTTTATTGGACAGGTTAAAAAGCCTGCAAAATACTGGTGCAAGTTTTTAAGTATGATGACGGGCACTTCATCAGGATCAGACGCTTGAGATATTGCGCTGTTTCAAATTTCGCCTGACTAGACGCTGTCGAAATGCAATTTCCAGCACTGAAAGACAAATTCATATATCATACATACAATATATTATGAAAAGGGGCCGAAACTATAGTAATAAACGTTTTTTCGTTATATCCGAGAATATTTTCCATGTTTTAACAAATTTCTCAGTGCATAAAATGGAAAACTCCACAACACGTTATTCGTTTTCATTTTATCAACCACACTCCATGAATCATGCTATCGATATATTTTTCTTTTTGCATATAACGTTAGGGTTGATTATGAGATAAACTGATGAACGGATATTCAAAACAGATTTCTTGCAGGCTGATATGTCCCCTGGTCACTGTTGGGCATTGAAAGGTTCTTCTGGAGGGGCAATCGTCAAGTTGATAGGAAAAGTGAAAATCAACGCTAGAAAGCCTTTCAGGCTATATGTTCATAGAAATGCGCACTAAACTTTCTCAAACTATAAATATTCACTCCGTTGACAATTTGAATGCAGGTACAATATTGAATTTTCATCAATGAATTCTCTATTCTGAAAAAATCTCTTTTCATTCGATTCAGTATATCAGCTGAGCATGCCTGAATTGTAGCTTGTTGAAAGAAATCTTAGTATTTCCGATTGTATTTCCTAACCCATTCATTATTGTTGATGCAACATCATTCAGGCTCAATGCATTTTTTAGTAAGTTTTGCCATCCACCTCCTCATTCTAGATTCAAAAAGGTTGCATTCAAATGATCATGTTTTATCAAGAGTACCAAAAGATTGTGTAAAATTTCAGCTCAATAAGTCGACGTTAACTGGTTCAAAATTAAATTTCAAGAAGTAGCTAAAAACACCTATTTTCAGTTGAAATATTTGCTGAATGGATTTTTTTTATATAAATTCACTGTTAGTTCCAAACAATCTCTTCTGAAAATAACCATCATTGCTTCAGATTGTTGTGTTTTCCAATTTATATTTTTCAAATTGAATAAACTGTCGTTCCCCATAATGGAATTAAATGTATTGAATTGAACCATCCTTTTTTTTGCTTTGTGATTTGTCATTAAAAAATTGGCACCATATGGAAAACTTTTTTATTATCAAGAACTCCACAACCCTTGTTGGTCATGAAAGAGAGCATGGGCACATTCTTTATTTTGAATATCCCACGATTCTAGATGAATCATAATTATCTGATAGACTCTTAAGTGAAGTCATTCATATCTTCAAACATGATAGTTTCAACACTAGAAGGAATGTTGATAGCCCCAATAGTGCATTTTTCAACTAAATCAGTAAAATACCGAAATAATTTTTTTTTCTATTCTCACTCTCATATCAATAAAAACAGGTACAGCTTGTATGTATGTATGTATGTATGTAGGAAGTGCTTTCTGAATTCCGTTATGGTCCTGTCCATAGGTAAAATCTTACACACATGTAGTGAAGAAAGGAAAATCAATTTGTTGGAAGTCATGGAAATCGATCGAAAACTCAAAATATAGAACCCTTAACTAACGAACAGATTTGTGAAGGTTTCCACTTTTCAATTTATAAAGATGACAACGCAAGTAATCACAGTTTGAAGTTTATGTAGTTGGTATTGATGAATGAAGGTATATATCTTATTACCTACTCTCGGATATATATACTCAGATATTTCTCTTAGGTCAGTATAGAATACTTGAGAATACTTGAGAATGGTGTAAAAACCGAAACCTTGGTCGTATTAATATCAATACAATACAATAATAATCTGTAAGTTTACGATCACTTTAATTAATAGGCTGTGTTGTGACAGCACACCGAAATCTCTTTTAGAAAATGTTAATGAAGAATTCTGTGCACGATGGAAGAACGACATGTGAAAATTTAAGGATTAAGTGATCAATTATTCAGGTTTCTGAACGTTTTTCTAATTTGATTTTTATTTATGTTCCACATATATGTAAATTAGAACTATCCTTTGAGGTAACACTATGATTAAAGTGATCGTAACTTAGAGATATGTATTACTTAATTGTTTAGCATTGATTAATTCCGTCAATTATTTCTTGTCATTGAATCATACTAATAGTTAGTCTGGATATGGCGCCAAAAAACTAGTCAAAATTTAAATCATTTTCAACAAACATCGATATACTAGTTCTAATAATGAATTGGACTAAATCTCGTATTAAAATATTATCATAGTGATATGAGGGAGGAACCTGTGTTTTGTTACGTAGGTGTATGATTCCAAATCTGAATTTTGTTTTCAAATTCAAACACATTTTCTAAATTTCCTGTAATGCACCAATTTTTATAAGAAGTAGAATTTCCTGACAAATTGATCATAAAAAAGTTTCTCATATGGATAAACTTTTTGAAACTCACCATATAATATTTTTAGAACCGATATGGATAACAGTTTTCACCCTTTCATTTGGTTCGAATTTATCATTTTAGATTCTATAACATGGAAATCTGTCGTTTTATATTCATTAATGATGAGTCAACTTATATTTTAATAGGGTTTGAAAAGTACCACCGACAGAGGTCAACAACTTGGCCAATTCACTTACGATATAGAGGGTCCTCTTGTACAGACGTTCCCTATTTCCAATTCGAATTCATATGAATTCGTGGAATTCCGAGTTTTAACGAATCATGGTAATCCGGACTTCACGTGTGTATATAGGTAAGTCAAATGTATAGTTTATCTCAACCTTTTCAAATCAAATCCGCTGATTCACTTTTGTTTTGTCAAAAACTCTCGAAGTGATTAAATAGATTAGCCGAATTTTGTACATATATATTGATTCCTGTTATGTAGTGTCAAATTGTCCTATTGTATGTAAATGTATTTTTCACAACTTCATCTGTTTCCATTCAATCGTTTTATATTTGTCCAACTCACTCTGATCTAACAATTTTTTTTCAGGTTTAGAGTACATGGCAGTCTGGAGAAATCCTGAAAACTTTTATTCTATATTTTTATTTATATATTCAATAAACCATATAAGGTGAAGAAAATTGTTTTTTTTATTTATTCCACCAGTCTCGGATTGAGTATTTGCTGAAACATCTCACAATCTGACTATATGAACATTTGTTTTCGAGAAATATTGCTACAATTCCGATAAATCCTACAAATATATCCATATCATTCAGTAAATGAACATATCTGGTTCATATCCTCCTGTCAAGAGTCCGATTTGAGTTTCTCATCAAGTTCCAAAATTACTTTTTGAGTCTTTCTCTTGGGTTTTCTGAGCTTCAGATTTGAGTTTCCATCATTATTTTTCTAATCTTAGAATATCTTCTTCAAATCTCTGAATTTTTCTTCAGATGTGGGACATTTGCATAGATCCGAAAATATCAGATATAATCAGTGTTCAGTCATTAGTTTCGTGACAGTGATCGTAAACTGCGATTTTTGAATAATTATTTGATTTGTGATGGAATCGGCCGATACTTGAGGAAAATCCATAACATATTCAAGAAACAGTTTTGTATAGCGAAACACGTAATGCAATTTTGTTCAGTGAAAATCTCACAATAAAATATTTCTTGAATAATGATTTGATTGTAGGTTAGGTTAGGTCCAAAGAACGTGGGTCTATTCGACCGTCCACCGCAACCCGCAATGGTTCATTGTGGCTCTGTCGAACCAACTCTAATTTCTAATTTTCCAATCCCTTGACAGCAAGGAGATTGAGGTTGCTGTATTCCTCGATATTGAACGAGCATTTGACAACACACTACCTAAATCTATAGGATCATTTCTAGCTAGGAAAGGCATAAAATCGACCATAACTGGCTGGATTTATGCAACTGCAACTACGACTCTTCAAGGCGAGGCCATTAGATTCAAGGTCAACAGAGGCTCAAGATGGGGTACCTTCTCCCCTTCTGTGGTCGCTCCTGATGGATAGTCTGCTTGATGCCCTCGAAAGAAGAAAAGTAGATCTGCAAGCTTATGCAGATGACATTGTCTTCTTGGCAAGTTCCACGTCGGGAAGGGTAGCTTGTGATATTCTCCAAATCACGATGGACGTTTTTCACAGTTGGTGCCTGAGTGAGCAGATGTCTGTCAACCCCAGCAAAACTGTGATGATGCCCTTCACCGGGAGGAGAAAATTGGACGATCTAACGCCACTATCCCCCAATGCTGAGGTCATTCTATTTGGAACGGAGGTGAAATATCTTGGCATTGTCCTTGATAAAAAAGTCACGTGGAACGCTCACTTGGAAAAAGTTTTAAACAAAGCCAGACTGTCCCTATGGACATGTCGAAGGATTTGGGTGAAACTTGGGGTTTAGGTCCAAAAAAAATCTATTGGATTTATGTTTTGTGAAGCCGAAGGCTTTACAGACATCATTCTAGATGGAGATCCATCTAGATCTACCTCCTTTTCACATTTTTCTGGAGAGAGTTCTAGTACAACAGACTGTTGGTTGACACTGGGAGTCACAGCATTCTGAAAATGACCACTGACTTTATGCCTACAACCTACGAACTGCCTTATGAAGTACTGTTTCCGAGTAGAGAAGACTAGATTCTCCAGTAGAAGGAAATATTAAGAGTAAATAGTTATTGGTTCGCAGATGGATCAAAACCACCTTCCGGTTCTGGTGTTTTCAGTCACAGACTCAGGATAGAGATATCAACCTGCCTAGGAACCTATGCGACTGTATTTTAAGCGGAAATTTACGCTATTGAATTGTGTGCGGACAGATTGGAAGAATCCAACCTCATACAGAAGTCAATGAAAATATTCTCGGACAGTCAAGCGGCGTTGGAAGCTCTTGGACCCTACCGACCAACGTCTACATTGGTAGCAAATTGCCAAAAACGACTATCCTCGATAGAAAATCTTAACTGTATCTGGTCTTGATTACTGGCCTGGAAGACAATGAGGCTGCTGACACCCTTGCAAAGAAGGGCGCGGCAAGCAGTTTCATCGGACCAGAACCTGTCATTGGCATCGTTTTAGGCTTTGCCAAACAAAGATTGATCATCTAGATGCCATGGAGATTTATGGACTTCTGGCAGAATCTTTCAGGATTGGCTCACTCCAAGGCGTTTATTCACCGTTTGAAGCTTGATGCCAAATATTTGTTGGACTACAATAGGGATGAATTACGATGTCTAACAAGCCATCTCACAGGTCACTGTCATTTGAATCATCATATGCAGATACTCGGACTGTCGGAAGATAGTGTGTGTCGCCTTTGTTTGGAAAATGATGAAACAGCCTACTTACCTACGTATCTAGCAAAATAGTGGTGGCGCATGCAAGTTGTAACCTGTTCAATCATGCATTACATGTATCTACATTACCAAAGATTATCAAAAAAGTATTCAGTAATATGTAACACAGACATTTCAAATTACGGGGGGCGCCGGATTAGCCAGGGACCGGATTACCGGGGGGCGCCGGATTAGCCAGGGACCGGATTACCGGGGATCACTGTAAGTAGTCTTGAATACTTGCGAATATGAATTAAGCCGTATTTAACTATTGTGTTATTTGATGAATTTTAGAGTTCATCAAATAATGCCAAGTTATATTCGAGTACCTATCTTATAACTATAACTCTTTTGAAGTCCAGTGCCAAAAATGACTTGGTAAATGTAGATATATCCCATACACATGAGTCACAATTGAAAGTCATTAAATATATTCCATTCTCTCAAGTGTTGGGACTGTAATGAGCGAAATAAATAATCAATTCACTTTTATTACCGGATAAATAAACAGACCAGAACATGCCTTTGAACCACAATAAAACTAAAAATAATCCAAATTAATACCGGCCCACTTGGCATAACAGTTTTATTGCACTCCGCTAAAAGCTCCGATACACCTCTGAAATAGCTGTGGTTTTCAACTAACTGTTCGAATGTATTATTTTAAAGGTACTTACTGGTTTTATGGAGATTACACGAATTTAATGCAACATCCGAACATCAGGTGTGAGCGCGTCTGAGCCATTGTTACAAACTCGTTTCGCATTGTTAAGAGGATTCCGCGCCTGGAAATAACCACCCCATGATGTTTGGGAAATGTTATTAATTCGGATAGACTTCCAAAATTGCTGAAAAGGATCATCCGTGAATAATGGCGATATTATGAACAACCCAAATCAGAAGAACACGCTGGGTATTTTATTTTTGGTATTCCGTCATAGCAATGTTAATTTTTCACTTTATAATATTGATGATTTCAAAAGTTTTATCTATTTTGATATCATGTGTTTTTGAAACACAATGAATATTCATTCATACCGGGACGAGCGTGGCCAATCAAAGTTATATTTTTTTCAAATAGAACAACCAGTATATGAATACGTCATTCGATTCCATATTTTTTTAGCTCTCTAAGGAATTTTTCTTTTCGAATGTTCATTGAGGCGTTGCTGAGTTATTCCAGAAAAACATATTTTGCAGACAATACTTTTCTAATTCACCACCCGCATGTTTACAGCAATTGAGTGGATTTTTTAGGAATAGTCAGTTAACATTACTATGATAATTTCGGGAATCTCAACTTTCGGAAACAATATATAGTGCATGTTTCCAAAGGGAAGGAAAACACGAGGAAGTGATACACGAATCCTGTATAAAGGTGATGTATTCCAAGAGATGTGTTTCCACCAAACGAATCATTCGAAGTGAGATACTGTCCGAACCTACAGCGTTGCTTCTGATTTTATTTAAAAACTTTTGTACAGTATGTTCGTCGACGGGAGAGAACCTGGAAGAATCTGCAGTTGTCTTAGTTTGGTACTTTTCAAGAAGCGATGAGATTGAAATTGTGTTTTGTCAGGGAGGGTGATATTGCAAAAGAACTGATTGATTTCATCTAGATTTTTCAGGTTAGGTGGTAGTTCAGGGTTTGACTTTGACTTCGAAAGAACAAATTGAAGGTACGCTTTTTTCTCCCGACGCGACGAATAGCAGATGTCGTATAGTTCCTCAGTTCTTTATAGTTATCCCATGCTACAATCAAATAGAGTAATGAGATTATTGTTGAATGTTATTACCATGTCGTCAACGTTATCCAACCTGTATATTTCATCCCAGTCAATTGATGTGAGATCAGTCAAAAAGCAATCTTTATCAAAATTAGAAAAATCGCGATAAAAAATCCACTTGAAGTTATTCTTTTTGGTGCCGAAATTCTTGATAGTATACGAAATGGCCATATGATCTGAGATTCCTTGAATATCAGTAATATTCACATTTGAAATTATTTCAGGATGCGAAACAATCAGGAGATCAAGTAAAGTTTGACTTCTAGGGGTAACTATAGTGGGGGAAGTAATTATCTGGGAGAAGTTAAAGGACGAAAGAAATTGATAAACGAGATCGGAACGGTTATCGATTGACAAAAGGTTAATATTCAAGTCACCCGCCATTATAAAATAGTCACTCGTAGGTAAAAGATTAGAAACCGTTTCTTCTAATTCATTGAGGCACGTTAAAATATTAGACTTGGGTGGACGATATAATATTCCAAAACAAAAGTTTTTACCCGCCGAATTTACTGAGATCCAGAGCTGTTTGAGCTCAGGGCTGATTTAATGAAAGGCCACATTATAGTTTAAGGTGTTCTTTATATATATAGCTACGACGCCCCCTCTACCATCTCCATCGGATCTGACAATATGATAAGAATGAATAGCCACAGATTCAGAATCGATATCTGAGTTAAGCCATGTTTCACTTAGACCGCAGATATGGATTTCATGATTTTCAAGAAAAGTCTTGAGATAGTCAAGTCCAATGAACACAGATTCAGATGAACAAAATTGAAAAATGCTGCCATAAAGGATTAGATACAATAAATTTAAAAAAAAAGGTAGAACAGATATATAATTTACGACAAATTACTTGGAAGGCTTATTTTTTTGTTGTTTGATTCATTAACTTGAAGTTCTTCTCTAGTCCTCTTGGATTTCAGGCGTGTGTTTCGTTCTCCTGCAGCGTCTTTTCTATCTTCTTCGCTCTTAATTATCTTTGGTGGATCGCTTTTTATTTCTTCAACGCTGTACGCTTTGTTGTTAACTAATAACTTGCCTTTTACGATTTTTGCCTCTATTTTATTTTCCAATGCAAGCTTCCAGTAATCTTTTAAGAATATAATAGTCGTGAGAACGTTTTGCAGATATTATATATTATATTATATTCGAACCAAGTTAGGTCAGTGTTAATAGTCACTCTCAAGTCTACACGGGAGGACATTACCCGTAACGATTGACCGTTCATTGTGTGGAGTGGATTGGATTGTTCTTTCCTTGATGGAGATCGATGCATTTGTCAACCATAAGAGGTGACAGCCAATCCTCACCCCACTGACTAATCGGGATAAAGTCTTCCTGAAAGAATTGATGTTCGACCAACGCATTTCCATACAGTTCAGTATCATCGCCATAAAACGACTAGCAGGATTTCATATGAAGATCAAGATCACTTGCTTAAGCAACGAAGAGGAGTGGTACAAGCACAAACCCCTGAGGAACTCCACTTGTGACTTGTCTGTCCAAAGAAAAAGAGTGACCTACTTTGACCGTGAAAGTTCTATATTTCATGTAATTTTCAATCCATAGGTTTAGTTAGCCCCGAATTTCGAGTGTGTCAAGTTTTGCGTTAGCCTCCTCACTGGGACGCTGTCAAAAGCCTTGGAAAGTCAAAATAAACAATATCTGTCAGTATTTTTCTATCGTGAGCTGTCGTCCAGTCGTTGCACTGTAGAAAATTGCTGGTGATGGATTTACCTTTGACGAAACCATGTTGTTCCGATGGTATGATTGCGTTTTTCGTTAAAAATTCTGACATACCTTCTACAATTATCGATTCCATAACTTTGGGAGGTACGGACCTAATGGATTGAGATTATCCCTTTTTTTGAAAATAGCGATGACAGACACCTTTTCCCAAACCTGTGGGATTTGAGATTATGCGAAACAGACTGATATGATTGTTGACAAAGGAGAGCAGAGAGTTTAGGCAAATTTCTTGAGAAAAAAGGGCAGTTGTGGAAAAAATGGCAATGGAATATGGTAATTATTATTTATTGTGTGTTTCCAGGACAAGTTCACTCGCTTTTTTATTGTTGTAGTTGATTGAAACCATAAGCCACTTTAACGTATATTTCCATTTGCTGAAATTAATATTTTATAATTTATTATCGCGTATGCAGGAATATATATCAAATACGACAATTTTGGATAGTAATAGAAAAGATAGAAACAGACAAAATCGCGCCAAAAACATTTCTGATATCAAAATGGAATATACATCTTAGGATGAGGCGCCATTTCTTTTACAGGTGACATTTCACCAGACAGAAGAATTTTGTCGACCCTCTCCTCCCACCGAAGGGCAAACTCTATATCTATAAGCAATACAACAGCTATACAGTTTCCGCAAGTGACGATATCTTCTTTCAAAAACACTGTTTCTAACGGGCCAATTCACATAGGATTTTCCAGCAAGCCATGAAAAAGCCTTCACCGTATTATTCTCCAGTCGAGTCGTGTGTTTTCATTTCTCCTCGAACAGAAACTCTGAAAACAATTTTGGTGAATATAATTCATTTTTTCACCCCTTAAAAGGAACCTTGGGCCAGGGCCTGGTGGATATAAATCTCGCAGTAGCGCCAGACCGCCAATAACGGGACGTGATCAATTCACCGAAAGCCGCGGAGACGTGAAAATAGAAAACTACAAAGAGAATGTGATTTCTATTTCTGCGAAGAGATCTGTCTTGATGTGACAAGACACGTCAAATCTACTCAAAGCCCTCCGGTGTAGAACGCAGTTCGTGAATAGATTTTCTCGTCTTGCATCATCGTCTACACGCGCCGAAATGGTAAATTGGGTGTTAAGTTTAATGGTTGTGAACTCCTGTGCCAGCGCTAACAAGAAGGGGATAATGTTTATTGCTGCTCACGACTGATGGTAAAAAAGTGGGATCGAAGGGAAACATACAGGGTGTTCATTGAACATGCGGCAAAAATTAAGGGACTATTCCTTGGACTATTACAAGGATATTTTTTCCTATGATGATTTTTGGTAAGGCGCTTTGTTTCGAAGGTACGGGGCAAAAATTCAAAAAGGTGCTGATGAGGTGTGGAAATAAAATGCTTATGAATTTCTACCAGAAATGCACCTTGAGGAAGCTAGATTTTTTTAAAAGTTAAATTTGAAATAAATACTCTTCCATTTATCACGTTGATTAGTTTTCTATGAATATTTGTTTCGAAAAAATGTAACTATTTTTGGCGTAAGTAATTTTTTTTCAGAGCAAGCACTACAGGAATATCTTTAAGGAGCTCTTAGAGTGGAGCCTTTGTGAAAGTAGTGACTCACATTGGATTTGAATCGCTGGAGATTATATCCATTTGGAAAAACGTTCTCAAGAAGGTTATTCCACATAAACGCAGTTGTCCGAATGAAAGAGTTCTTGAACAGTGAAGTTCGAGGTTTACCGAGTTGAACCTCAAAACAATGAGCTGACACAGTCCGTCGCGTACTTCTGATATGTACCGTTTTTGGTGGAATCAAATGTGCCAAGTCACTTGAACACCTCCTGTGAAAGAATCTATGGAAGAGAGACAAATCCCCCTTCTTTGATGATCCAGACTAGCAAGATTGCAAGTAATGTTCGTGTCTCCAATCAGGCAAATGGCTCTCTTATGGTTGGAATCCAGCGGCTCCAAAGACGGTCTGATCTGAGCACCAAAAGTTGCTGAGATGTGTGGAGTTTTCTGGTTCGGAACAGTGTACCCAGATTTTGAGAAACAGCTCTTGCAATTCCAGCGACTTGATTGTACCACGACATATTGGTGTAACCTTCAACAAACTCATCGAAGCAGAAAGCACAATTGTCAGTTCGGTTCGGGGTCATTTATCTTTTTGGAGAAACACCGATGCCTGGGTTTTCGTGGCATTGAATTGAACTACTTTCACCCTAATTCGAAATCACCTCCAAATCCTCATTAAGATATGCAATGGCCAGTGAAGTGTGCTATCAAATCAATACATTGGATTTTCTTTTTTTCTCAATGAGTCGTTGATATACAATAAAAAGAGCGTTGGAGAAAATATGAATCTCTGAGGAACACTAGTATTGATGGTGAAAGTACTCAAGAGATATCCATCGATGACCACTTGCAGGGTATGTACTTTCAGGAAACTGGAGAATCATACACAAAAATTATTCGACAAGCCAGAGCATCGAAGTTTGGCCTACAAAACCTCATGCCACACACGTTCAAAGGCCTCAGAAATATCAAGTGCAACAAGTGCAATCGAGAAACATGACTTTCATGTTTCTCAATTGCGTTATTCCATATACTTATGGGTGACATACGATAGAAAGTCGCCTATTGATCTTTGTTTCCGGAAGCCATATTGATTATCGCGACTAGTGTATAGTGCGAAAATTAATTGCACTTCCACATTGCCACTTTTTTCCTGCTATATATTGCTGTTTTCAGATTTGCTATCCGACGTTTCGTCTTCCGGCCACCATCATCAACTTTATTTTTTCTTATGGGCGCTAGATTAGATTCTTTCTGTTTTGAATAGAACCAGATTTTACTTTCTCAATTATGTATCATAAGTTATAATTCAGGACAATTTTCAAGTCAAATGGGCTTTAATCAGTTGGAGACGATCCTGTCCACCAATAGACTGTTGTTTTGTAATATGTCCACGCATATGGGCACGAAGGGAAGACAAGGACGCGCGCGCAGGGATGATAGGCCAGACTCGCAAAAGTAGAGATGAGAGGCAGTACAGCGTCACTCGTAGAATGAGACGAAATTATTCATCAATAATTTATCGAAAGTATAATACAGTCCACTTACATCATTTGATAGTTTGTGCATGTTCATTAAAATTTGTTCACATTCTTTTTCGAAAAATTAGAGATATTGAAAACAATTAATTCGTATCATAATATGGTTTGACTTTGATGTTTTTAAATGTGACTTTCAATTTGTTTCACTCAATGACATTTTGTTATTGTACAAGTTATTGAATTTTTGGCGAAAACTGGCTTTCACCAATGGAGAAAGAAGAGATATGATACAAATTCATTACAAATACGATAGAAACAGTGTGTTAGGACATTGGAAATATATTTAAACTTGTATCCCGAAAGACGACAACCACCTCGAACTATGTTCAAGTTATTAGATCAAAACCGTGTTTGGTTCATTTGAAAAGCCGAGGAAAATATACGGAGATAGAATGGACCAGGAAACTGAAGAAAATTTGAAAAATGAGGTATGTATGAGGTACCTAAGTTAGACATTGTCCTTTTCAATAAAAATTAATAATTTGCAAATAAACATGAACCCAGGAAAATATCTATACGTCAAGAGCGGTTTGAAATGTTACATAATACGCATAACTCAAAAATTGCATCCAGGTGATCCCGAAAAGCCATTAGAATTTGGTAATTGGCTGATTAGAAGACGCGATTTTCCTGTTTTCCTGGAAAATGTAATTTAAACAGATGGAATCACTTTTACGAATTATAGGATATTCAACGGAAATAACTTACACATTTGGAGCACAAACAAACCCAGGTAGTTCCGGGAAATTGGACCTCAAGTGCGATTTAATATTAACGTGTGGGCAGGAATTGACAAAGATAGAATTTTTGGTTATCATTTATTTGACGGAATTCTGAATGGAGAAACCTATCACTAGTTTTCAATGTCAATTTTTGAAGTCTATTTGGATGATATACCTTCGGCTAACTATTTCAACATGATGTTGCTCCACCGCACACTACCAAACGAGTATCTAATGACCTGACTGAAAGGTTTGTTCATGAATGGATAGGGAATAATGGGCCGATGAGGTGGCCAGCAAGCTCTCCAGTCCTGAGTGTTATGGATATATTCTCATGAGATGCACTGAAAAATAGAGTTTATGGTCAGAGGGAATATCAAAATATTGAGGACCTTCAACACAGCATTGTTAGAGAGTTCGTGCAGTGAATAATATTCGAAGAAGGGCACAGTTGTGTTATCATGAACAAGGCCAGCATTTTGAGTAATTGCTGTGATTAACTTTTGTCTTTACATTTTAGTTAATTATTGTTTTTTGTTCAAAGTTCTATTTTAATTGAAAAGGATACAATGTCCAATTTACCTCATACTTACTTCATTAATCAAATCTTGATTGTCGATTCCGTCTCCGTATTTTTTCATTGGCTTTTCAAACGAACCAAACTCGGTGAAATTTTGATCCAATAACTCAAACATACCTCGATGGGGTTGTCGTCTTTCGGGATACAAGTTCAAGTACATTTCCGATGTCCTAACACTGTTTCTATCGTATTTGTAATGAATATGTATCACATCGTTTTTTTCTTCATTTGTGAAACCCATTTTTCACTAAAAATGCAATGACTTGTTCATAACAAAATGTTATTGAGTGTAACAAATTGATAATCAAATTTAGAAACATCAAAGTCAAAGCCTATTATGATAAGAATTAATTTTTTTCGATATCTCCAATTTTTCGAAAAAAAATTATAATTTATGATACATCATTGAAAAGGTGAAATCTGATTCTATTCAAAACAGAAAGAATCCAATGTAGGGCCCATAAGAAAAAATAAAGTTAATAATGTAATACACTCAATACTGAAATGAGTTTATGGTCAGAAGATATCAACGGAGACCCTGCGATGACTGTGTAAATTTCTGGATTGGTTGTTGAGTATAGATCCAGATGCATTGAAAGGCATAAAATCGACCATAACTGGCTGGATTTATGCAACTGCAACTACGACTCTTCAAGGCGAGGCCATTAGATTCAAGGTCAACAGAGGCTGCCCTCAAGATGGGGTACCTTCTCCCCTTCTGGGGTCGCACCTGATGGATAGTCTGCTTGATGCCCTCGAAAGAAGAAAAGTAGATCTGCAAGCTTATGCAGATGACACTGTCTTCTTGGCAAGTTCCACGTCGGAAAGGGTAATATTCTCCAAATCACGATGGACGTTTTTCACAGTTGGTGCCTGAGTGAGCAGATGTCTGTCAACCCCAGCAAAACTGTGATAATCCCCTTCACCGGGAGGAGAAAATTGGACGATCTAACGCCACTATACCCCAATGGTGAGGTCATTCTGACACCCTTGCAAAGAAGGGTGCGGCAAGCAGTTTCATCGGACCAGAACCTGTCGTTAGGCTTTGCCAAACAAAGATTGATCATCTAGATGGCATGGAGATTTATGGACTTCTGGTAGAATCTTTCAGGATTGGCTCACTCCAAGGCGTTTATTCACCGTTTGAAGCTTGATGCCAAATAGTTGTTGGACTACAATAGGGATGAACTACGATGTCTAACAAGCCTTCTTACAGGTCACTGCCATTTGAATCATCATATGCAGATACTCGGACTGTCGGAAGATAGTGTGTGTCGCCTCTGCTTGGAAAATGATGAAACAGCCTACTTACCTACGTATCTAGCAAAATAGTGGTGGCGCATGCAAGTTGTAACCTGATCAATCATGCATTACACGTATCTACATTACCAAAGATTATCAAAAAAGTATTCAGTAATATGTAACACAGACATTTCAAATTACGGGGGGCGCCGGATTACCGGGGATCACTGTAAGTAGTCTTGAATACTTGCGAATATGAATTAAGCCGTATTTAACTATTGTGTTATTTGATGAATTTTAGAGTTCATCAAATAATGCCAAGTTATATTC